TGGCTGCCTGGTGCTGAGCTTGGCTGGGACAGCTGGGTTTCTCTTCCTCAAGGAGATGAGGCTGGGCTGGGTTCCCAGGGGGATCAGAGAGGACGCTGCAAAGTCTTGAACTTGGAAGTCACATGTTTCACCTGAACTGTCGTACTGGCCGATGGAAATCAAAGGTGAAGGCCAGCATGGATCAAGGGCTCCAGCTCTTAAGGAGAGGGGAGGCAACGATTCTGTGGCCACCGTTAACCCACCACAGGCCTTCAAGCAGAAGATATGAGAGTGAGGCCGGCAAGGTCCAAGATGATGGGGACTGCTCAGCCACAGCGATTGCCATGGAACTCGGCATTCAGTGGAGCCAAATCTTCTGACTTTTCAAAAGAAGATGACAATCAGATTTTTTAAAAAAATAAATGAAGACTTTTCCCCTCAGCATTAGGTTTACAGAAAAATTGTACAAAATAACAGTCTCCATATACCTCTTCTACCTCAGTAGCCTGTATTTCCCCAGCATCTGGATTTGTGTGGTACACCTGTTGTGACTGACCAGTCAATATTGATACATTATTAACTAAAGACTATAGTTGGCACTATAGTTGGTGTTTACTTTTGGTTCTATGAGTGTTGAAAAATGCATTATATTTTATATCCATCATTAAAATATCACACCAAAGAGTTTCATCGCCTAAAAATCCCAGGTTCCACCTAATCATTCCTCTTCCTTTCCCTGATCTTTTTACTGACTCCATAGTTTCACATTTTCCAGGAAGTCATACAGCTGGTATTGTATTTCAGACTGGCTTCCTTTACCAACAATATATATTTAAATCGTTCCATGTTTGTTTTCTTGATGCTTGATACTTCATTTGTTTTTAAGTTAAAAACATTTTATTTATTACAGAGACAGAGAGGGTGAGCTCTTCCATGCACTGTTTTATTCTCCAGAATCTTGCGACAGCCAGGGCTGGCCCAGGCTGAAGCCAGGAGCTGGGAACTCAATCTGGGTCAACCAAAAGGGTGCAAGGATTCAGCTACTCGAGCCAACACCGCTGCCTCCCAGGGTGCACGCCAGCAGGAAGCTGAAATGGGGCGTGAAGCTGGGACCCAAACCCAGGCTCCAGTGTGCGATGTGAGCATCCCAAGCAACATCTTAGGCCCGAAGCCCAATACCTGCTCTAGCAGGTCTTTCTTTTTATCACTACATAAGTTTCCATTATGTTGATAAACCACAGTTTGTTTATTCATACCTACTGACAGATATCTTGGCTGCCTCCAACCTTGGCAATTATGAATAAGGCTGCTAAAAAAAAATCCATGTGGAGGTTTGGTGTACACATAAGTTTCTAACACATTTGGGTGAAAAAGAGCATGATGAGTGGACTGTATGCTGAGAGAGTGTGTCTAGTTTTGTTAAGAAACCAACAGTTGTTTTCCAAAGTGGCTGCACCATTCTGCATTCCCACCAGCAAGGATTAGGAGTTCCTGGTGCTCCAAAACCTTGCCAACACTGGTTGGTATCCGTGTTCTGGGATTCCAGCCGCTCTAACAGGGTTGCGGTGGAACTCACTGTTGCTTTAATTTGGACTTCCCCAGGGACAGCTTCTCATATACTTCTTTCCCATCTGTGTATCTTCTTTGGTGTGCTGCTAAGGTCTCTGGTCCATTTTTTACTCAGGCTGATTTCTTCTTGTTGAGTTTTAAGAGTTCTTTGTAGAGTTTGAATACTGGTCCTCTATCAGACACTTGTTCTGCAAACATTGTCTCCTGGTCTATGCCTTGTCGTTTCATTATAACAGTGTCTTTTGCAGGGCAGACGTTTCTAATTTAAACATAAGCCTTTGTTTTCACACGTTATGCCTTCAGCACTGCTTTGAAAAAGACACTGCTATAGCCAAGGCCATCTAGGTTTTCTTCTACTTTATCTTCTAGTAGGTTTTGCATTTTACTTTAGACCCACAGTCCATTTGGAGTTAACTTTTTGTGAAAAGTCTAAGGTCTATGTCTAGATTCAGTTCTTTTCTTTTCTTTCCTTTTGCTTGTGGACATCTAGTTATCTAGTTGTTCCAGCACAAAAACTGAAAAGACTCCTGATTTCCAAGGTGGGTCCAAGCTTTTAATTTTTCATAGTAGTGACAGGGGGAGATAGAAGAGCTCTCTCTCCCCTGCCACACACGTCAGTAGGGTATATTTATCCATCCTGGATCATCTCTGCTTCCCTCAGCCTCCTTGCCCGCAATATTCTTCCCCTGTCCATTTAACTCTTTCCTAGAGCCCATTTTGTCTTTCTTCCTTATCTAGGCTGTAAACTCTGTGGGAGAACCGAAATTCTCTTTGTCTGATTTAGCCCAGGTAGCTTGGCACAGATCTAGACACAAAAGAGGTCCAGCAATCCTTGTGGACAACTTCAGGCTAACTGGACTTTGGTATTGGCTCACCAGCTGCAAGCCAACGGCTCTAGGGGGGAGATGGCTACTTCAAGAGGAAACCCAGCAGCCTCGCCCTGGCCTGGGTAGGAGGGTGTCCACTGTAATTTCGATGCCTGATATAGCATTAGGCTGATGCAAATGACAAGGTCATAATCTCCTCAGTGAGGAGAAATTCACCAATGATACAGCAGAATGTATTTCCAGGGGTACTGAAGTATCATGAGAAGTGAACATGTTTCTTTCACTATGATTTCTGCACAGGTTACAATGTCCATTCTACTGATTATGAAAAACAGTACAAAAAGGAATAAAATGAAAAGAGTAGAGAGCTCCTGGTGAGTGGTTCCATAACTTGTGCTTGCAACAATCTTCAACCTCTGGCTTTGCATCCACTGAAATCAAGTGTTCTCTCTCATTCAAGGATCCCTGTGAGATTCACAATGCACAGAGATGCAGCGTCCAGAACTGAAGCCGGGTCCTAGGTGGTCTTGGTTCCCACTGACATTAAGTGTGTGGACAGACTTCTCAGTCAATTTACTAAGAGAAAGTTCCAAACTTCCGTTTGCTAAGATTGCCTAACTTGTATCCATGCTCTAGGAGACAGGAAACTGGAAACTGCATCTCATTGCCATTGGTTGAAATGCCTGGTACAGGGCTTCCGGATGTTTGGGTATGGTTCTCACAGAACCATGGCGGATGCTGGGGTCAGCGCTGGCAATGGCCCTGTTTCTACTTCAAGAGTAGCCTTTCCAGACTGGCAGACTCAAAGGGGTCAGTCAGAGACTCACTCAGCATGGGGACCTCAGTCCTGTTGGAAACACACACACCCCACTGCCCCCAGTCCTCCTCCAAAGGCAAACAAGTAGGACTATTCCCGAACCTACACCAGGCAGGGCACAGTCCCCCTGCAGGGTATGAAGCCTGCAGAATGATCCCCCAGTATGTGGCACAAAACAAAGCACACCTAGATCCCTAGGAAATAAAAAAATCTAGGATTCACCCACCCCCACCCAGGACCTGTTTACAAAGGTGTATCCCCCTTCTTCTCTTAGCTGCCCAAGTAATCTCCTTCTAAGCAACCTCTTGTACACACTGTACCCAGTGTTGACTCAGGGGCCCACAGCTCTCAGCCACTGAAAACGAAGATTAAAGACCACTGGTTGGTCCTGGCTGGCTTGCATCTGGGGATGGTGGGCAACCTGGGCTAGAAATTCAACCTTACTCATGCTGAGCAACAAATAACTTCAGCAACTTCTAGGTGCAGAGACTTAAACCAAATAGAGCAGGAAAACAGAATGCCCTTCAAGTGTGGGGGAACAGATATAGAAGGGTCTGGGAAAGCCAGACCAAGAGTCCAGCCCTGAAGAACCACGAGAGACTCCTTCAGTGATTCTGAGCTCTTGGGGTGCTATTCTGCATTGATCTTAAAACACACACACATACACACACACAAAATCTAGCAAATAACATAATTAAATACATAATAAAACTTCCTGAATGCTGTTACGATTTAAAGCTGTCAAAACCAGAGACTTGATTTTCTCAGTTTAGGATTTCATCTTTCTCTGTAGTTATATTTTCACTGAAAGTATTTCTTAAGTTCATTTGTGAACCATTTTTCCTCCCAAGTGTTTAATGTCCCTTAGCCTCTTCCCAGGCAAAAATTCTTGGACCCATTTTGCAGATGTGCAAATATCTTAGACAGAAGGGTAGGGTGCTATTGTGCAACCAAGGCCTGCACAGTGGCAGGAAAAGGTAGCTGACATCCTGGCAGCTCACCCTTAAGCTGGGTGTTTCACCAAGTGAAATAATGACCTGAGGATAGTCTGTGGCTAACTCTCGAACTATTTTCACTAGAGAAAGGCAAAAAGTCAACTCTGTTTTTCTGGACTCTTATACAGCTGCAGCCAGAGAGTCCAGCTGTTTTGGTCACGGCCTCACATTCTTTCTAGTTGACAAGATTTACGGGGTGGTCTGAAGAAGCATGCTAAGTAATGTGGGATGAAACCACAGGGAGAACTCTCTGGCCCTAGCACAGCAGACTGGTTTCCACCAGGGACTGGACAACCAGTTCCCAAACTGCCTGTGGTGGCTACGTAGGCGCAATGCCCAAATGAAGCAAAAAGTATTCTTCTCTTTCCTAATCTCTTCAACGACATCACAGCCATGCTTGGTGAACGTGAAGATGCTCAGGGCTGCCTGGGGATCTTCACTATGCAAGCAGACACAGGGGTAGTACTGCACATTCCCAGCGTAGCAGGGGACAAAACAAATGCATGGAACAGATCTGGCCACTGAGCTACCACCATCCCCTGGATGTTTGTGAGGCTGGCAATCGCGATCACCAAAGCCATCTCAGAAAGACAGCAAATCAAAGATCACAAAGGCCAAGAGGCTGTATGTTCAGAGTAATGACTCCCCTTTGAGATGATGATGCTTAAAAACCCACAACAAAGCAGCCAAGCTCCAAGTTTAGGGAGAGGTTTCAATCATGTCCACAGGACAATGGCCCAAAGTCAGATGGAGCCAGAGAGCAAATTCTAACAGAACAGCCCTGTGCGGTGGGCGGCTGGACATCATACTTACAGTGAGTTGGGCCGAGCAGGCTTGACCACATCCAGGTCTAGGTCGCTGGAGTTTGTGTTGGGCTGCAGGCTGCTACTGGAATTCAGAATGCTGTTTGGGTTCGATGAGACAGATTCCAAACTGGAGTTGAGGATGCTGTTCCTTTGCTCCTCTGAGGGGAAAAGGCCACAAGTCCCATATTAATACTATTACACAGGAACACTCTACTACTACAAAGATTTATAATGAATGGGATTGGATCGAGAATTCCGGTCCCAATGAAACTGTTAACAGGACATAAGAAAGTAAGAATTAGGGGCCAGCAATGTGGCACAGTGGGTTAAGCTGCTCTCTGCGATGCCAGCACCTGTTCGAGTCTTGCCTATACTTCTTCCGATCCATCTCTCTGCTAAGGCACCTAGCAAAGCAGTGGAACATGGCCCGAATGCTTGGGCCCCTGCCACCCACATAGGAGACCTGTATGGAGTTCAGGGCTCCTGGTTTCATCTTGGTCCAGAGGAAGATTTTTCTTTCTCTCCTCCTCTCTCTGTAACTCTGGTTTTCAAATAAATGTTTTTAAAAAGAGAAAGGTTAATAATTAAAAACGAAAGAGTCAATGGGCAACAGGTGACTTGAAACTTCGAGCAAAAATCTCTCCTGGTCTGGACAAGAGATCTCCTCCATTGCCCCGAGTTTAGTAAGAGCCAGCCCTTCCTCCAAGAGGGGTCCTACCATTGTTACCATCAGTTGTGCCTTCGTTTGACCAGCGGGTGGTCAGAACCCACAGCTGCCTCCCTGGACCCCACGCATTCAACTAGATCCCCTGGGCTTCCATTAACACTGACCTTTTATTGTAAAACTCCTGCCTCTTGTACTGTACTATTGGTCCAGGCCATGCTCCACTTCCAAACCACCTCCATAGAGAGTATCTACTGTTTGGCCATGAACTTCCTCCTGACTCACCAAGTCTAAAGTCCTGACCCCTTCCCAGATATATCGTCTGTGTTGCCTATAGCCCTATGTCTTTGACATTTAACTTTAGGTTAATTCTTTGACAGATAGGTTTGTAATAGGCCACACCAAAGCCTGCATATAAAATAAAACTAAGACTGCTTGGAGGCCGGCGCAGCGGCTCACTAGGCTAATCCCCCGCCTGTGGCGCAGGCACCCTGGGTTCTCGTCCTGGTTGTGGCGCCGGATTCTGTCCTGGTTGCTCCTCTTCCAGTCCAGCTCTCTGCTGTGGCCCCAGTGGAGGATGGCCCAATTCCTTGGGCCCTGCACCTGCATGGGAGACCAGGAGGAAGCACCTGGCTCCTGGCTTCGGATCGGCGGAGCACCGGGCGTAGCAGCCATTTGGGGGGTGAACCAACGGAAGGAAGACCTTTCTCTCTGTCTCTCTCTCTCACTGTCTAACTCTGCCTGTCAAAAAAAAAAATGCTTGGAGAATATTGCCAAGCAAGGACAGATAACACCTGAGTTCTCTTCAACACTCCAACCACAGCTGGCCATGCGACCTCAGGCAACTTCCACAAGAACTTGGGTTTTCGGTTAACAAGTCTACAGAATGCAGAGAATGAGAACTGCATTGAGCTGCCATGAGGACCGAGTGAGCTCATGTGCAGGAATGTGTTTTGTAAACTTCAGAATACTGCTCAGAGAACTTGCTGTTTCTTCACATCTTTAAAAACTTGGAACCATGCATTGCGAAAAAACATTTTAGGGGATGATTTAGCTAAATGACACAGGCACCATTGCTATTGCAAAATATCAAAGACTTACAATATCATTCTTATCCCCCTCATTATAGATATACCCTACTGAAATCAGCGGACATCTCTGCCACTTACTTCACTTGTCAAGAAATTTCATATCTGGGTTAATCCTCACTAGATCTTTTTGAAATGAGCCAGAAGTCTAGTATATCCCAGAGAGGTCAGACTAGAATCACTAACATGGTAATTTAGAGGTCAACATCTAAACTCAAGTCTCTTTGAGCAATAAAAAAAGGATGATGTAATAAAAATACTTTCTCCTTTGTACGCTTCATGTCTGTAAAAATAAGTTATGTTTATGAAATGATGTTAGAGTAATCTTCACATTAAACACATACATATATATACTCAATACCTCCTAAATGTTTTGGTAAATTCTTAATGCCCTGGATAAAGCCCTATAGAAAAGATAAAACAAAATCCATGAGGCTATTCCAAGATTCTTGAACTCTAAGTAGATTTTGAAACATGTAGATTGTTAAGTGGATTTCTGCAATTTAGAACTATTCACATTTCAAAAACTTAAGTTTCTAACAGAAACGAAGGGGAAATAGAAAGAGCTACACCGAGCCTAGACATATGACCAGTAAACAGGAACTTGCCACCAGAAAGAAAAACAACTCCCAAGTTCTATAATAAGGGAAACACGGAAAGAATGGATATGCCAATTTTTTTTTTCTCCCCAGAACACTCACAGAGATTCTTGAAAGACTATGAGAAGTGCATGACCACCATATAGAGTAGGAAAGCTAAGACAACAGTTCTTGGAGCCGTAACTGTAGACACTTTCTGCTTCAAATGGGAGGAGAGGTGCATGGTTTTAACTCCAGGATGAGAAGCTTGAGGGGCTAAGTTTGCCTGATATAATTTTTAGAAAATAGACAAACATAACTAGAGACCCCATTTCTCTAGTGATTATATTCACTTGTCCATGGTGGGGGGCGGGTCATGATTCTAAAAACTGAGAACAATATCTCTTTAAAAATATATTACGATTTCATTTTATAAAGATTAACAATCTAGAAAGTTATACACAAACAATACTTTAATGGTCAGGACATATTTTCCCTCCTTTCTCCCTTATTATTTGTTAGGAAAAGGGAATGTCTAAGATGAAACCTTCCTGAATTTTCATTTATTCAGAGAATGTTTACTGAAAACCTACTGAGTACCAAACATAGTACCCAGATAGAGAGCAGACCCTTTCACTAGCTCCTGCTACTTTATTTAGATATATACTAAAATATTTATTAATCTGCACATATTTATTCCTTTTTATGATGATACTTCCAAAAGGCTGCAGAAAATGGAAATGTTTCTTTTGGTGCAAAAACAGTGAAATTACTGCATAATTTTTTTAGAATGCATTTCTATGAACTTTCTGAAGACCCCTTGTATGCCCACTCTTATAGTCAACTCCAGGCAACCTACTACCAGACATTTGATAAAAGTTCAAAACCACAGCTGAAAACATTACATAACGATGCTCTGCTTTATAAAGTACCACAATCTGATGTTCATGAAATTTGATATTTTTATTTATTTGACAGATAGAGTTAGACAGTGAGAAAGAGAGAGAGACAGAGAGAAAAGTCTTCCTTCCATTGGTTCACTCCCCAAATGGCTGCCACAGCCAGAGCTACGCCAATCCAAAGCCAGGAGCCAGGTCCTTTTGGTCTCCCATGCAGGTGCAGTGGCCCAAGCACTTGGGCCATTCTCCACTGCCTTCCCAGGCCACAGCAGAGAGCTGGACTGGAAGAGGAGCAACCGGAACTAGACCCCGGTGCCCATATGGGATGCCAGCACCACAGGCAGAGGATTAACCAAGTGAGCCGTGGCGCCGGACCTCCATGAAATTTGATTTTAAACACCATACTGGGACAGAAGGTTTTAAGAACATATCTCCTATTGTACTTTATCCAGACTGAGTCTCTCTGTGAGCTAATGGAGGAACACTGTAACAAACAGAACAGAATATTTGTTCTGAATAAGCCCACTAGACAAAGGGCGTGGGGAGGAAGACGCAGACCCTGTGAACTAGAAAAGTCAGCAGAGTGAAACAAGTGGCTGCCCCCACAGTGAGCTTGAAGATTTCTAGCATTTCATCACTGGATGGCATTAGAGGTCTTTTTTCTTTAAGAAATTATTTTTGAGATCCTAGTTTGAGATATATGGGTTCCACTTGATATATATATATATATATGTATGTATATATGTGTAATGTATATGTATATATACATACAGATATAGATACATGTATAGATATGTATCCATGTATCTATTTGTCTGTCTGTCTATCTATTTATCTATCTATCTTCTTTCCCAGCAGCATGACCTATAACCTGGTAAAGTCAAACAACAAGAGAAGAAGATCAAAAGCAAAAGATTGGGGATAGGAGTTGTCTGTCCAAGAAGAAAATGAAAAACTTAGCATTCAGATTTCATAACTCTGCAATCACAATTGCCCAATATGTATCCTACGGGACAGACTCTTCAATGGTATGCCTTGATGGACCATATGATGAGGGAACCCAGAAACACAGCGTTCCCTGACCACAAGACTACTCTAATTCTTTACAGCTAAGTCCCTTTATCTGTAGATGATCTGCAATCTCAGATAATGAGACAGGAACTTCCAGGTGGAAGAGCTTTTCCGCAATGCTGACAATCCTGACTGGGGTTAAGGAGAAAGGTGAGGAATATTCCAGAGAAGGGGTGGAGAACAAAACCAATAGCAAAAAACTTGGTTTAGTGGTTATGCCAACTATACTGAGACAAAATTCTGAAGAGAAAGACAGAAAGAAAAAACGATAAGGAATGTCATTTGAAACAGGACTTTTTAGTTGGATGGGCAAATGAGTACCTGCTACTGACACAAAATCATGAGACTAGGTAGCCTAGAAGACGTTTTTCCTCCTCTGTTAAATAAAAATTAATCAGGTCATTCAAATAACAGAGCTCAACTCCCTTGAGTCACCGATGGTTCAGTCCAGCTCTGGCATCTTCACCAGAAGGTATAGGAAGGACAATGATGTCGCCAGAGGAAAGAAAATTACAGGCTGGTGGACTTCAAAAGAAAAACAACAACCAGTTGTGAGTCAAATCCATAAGACCACAGACAAGCACAGAAATGATAAAAAGACAAAGAATGCCCACCACTCAGAAGTAGTCTTAAACTGGTTGAAGTCGGTGAGAATGTTTGCCTTCCTCAAACATGTCTGTCAACAAGAACCTTTATATTAGAGCAGCTAAGAGCCCAGAAATGAGGAAATGATAAAAATAAATCCCCAACAACTGTAAACATGCACTGGATGCTTTCATGACCCTATGTCCTGCAGGACATGGACTCGGCCCTTATGGATACAGACTATTTGAGGGTGGGGACCTTTTGGCCACAGAG